GCCCGGCCGCCCCCGAGCCCGAACAGCCGCCGCCGCTCGCCCCGTCCGTGCCCCCCTGCCTCCCCAAAGGGGCCGGCAGCCCGGCGCTCCACACGGCAGCCCAGGAGACCACGACGACGCCCTACAAAGATGTAAATAGCCCCCTCCAGAAATCTGCACGCGTTGCTCTTGGGGAGGCGCGGGGGTCGCTGTGGGCTTGGATTTCCCGGCTCCGCTTTTCCTGCCCGGCCGGTCCGGGCTGGGAAACCCTGGCGGGGGGGGGGGTGGAGGAAACCCCAAGGGGGGCTTTAGAAAATCGGGGGCCCCGTCCAACCCGAGACCCAGCCGCTTGGTACAGCCCGGAACCTGCTGATTCACACAGCCTGCTAAACTTAACTCCAGTGAGGCTGGTGATGCTGGGAGTTGGGGGAGCAAATTGTGTAAACCACGCCTTGCGCTGAAGCCCCCTAGTTTATTCCTTGGGGCAACACGTGTTCCTAAGCAGACCATTATACTGCGCTAACCTAGTTTGTTGTGTTGTATGAACCCAGCCAGGGAGATGCTTTTCATTTAAATCAAGATTGGTGTTTTTGGATTGTCGCTTCCCCCCCCCGCCCCCAAGATCCTGTCGTCTTCCGGGTCCTGTTGGCTGCCAAATGCCACCTTCCTTTCCAAACAAGGTCATTTGTTTCAAAGTCAGGGAAAACCTCTGCCACCATGTCAGACCCACAAGCCTAAATTTGGGAGAGAAATTCAAACAAAGGATGTAATCCACAAAGCCACGGATGCTGGTGACCAGTTCAGGGTCCTGGCTTAATTTCCCTCCGCTTCAGAACTGAAGCAGCAAATAGCCAGTTCAGTGTTGCTAGCCTCCAGTCCGATATTCATCTGGGCAGTAAACTTGACTTTGGAGCTTGATCTTGGAGTCCCCATGGATAGATGGATGTGGTTTTCTTGGGAGCAACGTAGAGGCAGTTTTACTCTTGTTTTCTTCCAGAATTTAACTGACCGGTCCATCCTAGGATTTCTTGATGGTCTTCCATCCGATTCCTAATCAGGTTCAATCCAGCTTAGGTCTCCAAACATAGCTAAGGTCAGCCAAACTGTGCCACCCCTGTGAAAGGGATTACAAGCTCTTCAGTAAGCCGGGGTGGGGGTGGGGTCTGCAGGGTGTGGTCAAAAAAGTCAAGAGGGCTGCCACACCCTGCAAATAAGCATATTTAGAAGGGTGCAGTCTTAGTCTCCTTGGTCTTTCTCGCCCTTGACAACTCTAAGATGGGTGGACTTCAACTCCCAGAATTCCCCAGCCAGCCATGCTGGCTGGGG